ATCTGTCGCAAGAAGTTACTATATTATTAGGACGATATTGTGTCCATTAGACAATACCATTGAAGACGAGTTTGTCTCGCGGTGCAGCGAACTTATGCTGGGCAATGCCATAGCCGCGCGCTGCGCGTCGGCATTTTACCGCAATCGAAAGTCACGCGGCGGCGGAGCTCTTGCTTTCATAGTAACCTCCCCTCTTCTTGTGTTTTGAGTTTGTTTTATCGCCAACGATTGCGTAAGTTGACTTTTTTCGTGATTTTCTTCTTACCATCGGTAACAGAATACTTTTGATCGAGCTGTAGTTGTAATTGACAAATGTGATCTAATGGATAATCGTGGAATACATTGGAGTCACCATGATACCGTAACGGTTAATAGGTATATAATTATGAGCTAGTTCAGTTATTTATTACGTGAGTTGAGTGAGATATTAAAGAAATTTATAATTCAGTTAATTAGCTTGGTGAGCTGTAATTATACGTATTATTTTATTTTAATTCTACGCATGAAATTTTTGCTCGACTACATTGTATTCAAAGAGAATGTTGGGAGCTTATTTGTCCTGAAAATCTACAATAATGCAATAAAGATGCACTGTGATCTGAAAAGATACGGCGGCCGAATTCAAAGGGAAGTGAAACCAACGAGGCGTCAAAAATAGAAGCTTTTTTGTTAGCCGTGCTATTAACGCCTTCCTCTCTTAGCACGACTTGCTAACGTGAGAATCAATTCACGGAAAAGTTATGCTGCTTTGATGAAAACTCTTCACTTCATGATTCCGTAATTATTCTTTTTTTCAACGCAAATATGTCTGAAAATGGGATCTTGATTTATTGAGCATTTGAATGAAGCTTTCGAAAACGATGAGTAAGTACGGAGACGAAACGTCACATAAAATTACAATTTTAACTCGTGTCGACAGGACTTCGTACATTCAAAACAGCTTCACTTGAGAAATTCATGTATAAGGAAAAAGTCGGTCGCAACGCTGTTAACAATTATATTTATACTATTTATGTCATCGTCTTTGCAAAAAAAATAGAGATTTTCTCGCAAAAGAGTTTCACGCACTTGGCCGGGGAAAACTATCAATAATTGCGAGCATCTTCGCAAAAGGAGAAAAGGCGCCTCGAAGCGGTGTTCCAATTGCTCCTGTCGCGCACAGCTTAATTGAATATTACGAGTCCGTGAAAGCGAATCTCGCGCGAGGAGGGAAAAAAGAGATACGCTCACACTCGTGTCTTCGAGGTCAAGTCGCGTATATACGCGTCGTCGACCCGATTTACTGATGTGTAATCACTACGAATGCGGATACACCGTTCTACACTTTCCCCAATGTCTGCGTCGCAGTCGTTCGTCGCCCTTGAGATGCGCAAACCACCGTTATTCATTTTCCTTCGTGGTGAATAGAGATGTGTCTGTGTGACATTTGTCAGTAACGAGTGTGCGGTTTATATTCGCATTTAGGAGGATTGCGCGCGTACTGTGAAAGTTATCAATTCAAAAATCATTGCTTTTTGTGTCTTGAAAACGATTGACTATATCGATGCGATAACCGTTCGAACTTTTTTTGATAATTTGTTACTAAAATATCACTGTTTAAAAATTTGGTTTCAATGTAGCATTGATTTTCATTAAAATTGCTCAAATACGAGAATCTCAGTATATTAACTAAAAGATGAATATAAAAAAATATTATATTTATTTAATAATATCATCAAGATCTCAATAGAAGTAGCGAGTAAAAAAATATTAATTGATAGGTTCAGCAACTCTTGGGTTTATTGTAATTCAAATTCTGACTTTCCCTTCGAAGATTGCTTCGGAGAGATGCTTCTTGCACAGACTTTGTTCTTCTTTATTATTTTTTGTGTAATTGAAACGTTAAAGTCTATCTATTAATTATTTATTAGTTAAATTTATAAGATTTCGGCCATTCAGGTGAATTCATATAGGATTCTTTATAAAGCTCTGAATATTTTTTGTATTGTATATTCTGTATTGTAATCTACTACAATTTTACAATTTTAGAATAAACAATACCCAATCACTATTTCTCATAAATACCATGCGGTAGCGTGACATTTATGTAATTAAGGAACTAATAACATCTAATGTTCGTAATATAGAATGATCATCACCAAGTGGTAAACGCTTACACTATTCGCGCTCAGTTTCATTTCCAAAAACAAAGTATGAAAAAAATACAGGTACACCTGTAACGAATAAGGAAGTTTAAAGTAATTGTTGTTGAATTCTTATTTTAGATACAGTTGTATAAATAATTAAATCTATCAATTATATGCGATCGACATTCAATAACGATTCACATTTTATGCATTAAGAATTGATAATTTTTCACAAACTTAATTAGTAGACTTTTTCGATGAGCTTAAGTCTATTCATCATAAAGTATTGATTAAATACAATACGAGACAAAGTAAACGTAATATATTCCTCAATCAATATAAGCTTTGATTGCACATAATAACAACTGTTCGGGTTGAGGAGTGAAACGACAAATCGGTAAAAGGTGAATTAAGATTTATTACAGAAAAACACAAGTCAAACACAATCAATAAGACAAAGATAAAATTAGCGCTAGGTACAGAGGTGGTTCACAGGTTTCTTATAAGGTGAGGAAAACCGCAAGTAGCTGCGAACAACTATCGCACGAAGAAAAACGGCGCTAACTTGCCTAGGCGAAAGGTCGAACGGTTCTGCCCGAATCCGCTGAGCGAGTCAAAAAAGAGGCATGTGATTTTCCCTCTCCCGCTTTCCCGTTAATTTTTTCTTCTCTCGTGGCTCAAGGGCCGTGGGGCGTTGCTTATTTTCGCTTTGCCGCCAATGTTGGTGTTTTTCAGCCTGCTGTCCTGCTCGCGTCACGTTTCACGATTGGTTTTCGAGGGGGGCCCACGGCCCCCGCTCTCAACTTTTTCAACCTTCGAGTCTTTATCTCGATGTGAGATTCGGAAATACACGTTTCCGATCTGCTGGTTTGATTCGCAAGCTAACATCAATTCTGGCGATGCGCATGCTTATTCGAGCTTGACGGACAGCGGCTTTCGCACACGGGTGCAGTTTTCCTAACTGAACAATTTAAAATTTGAGGATCTCAACGTCTCGTTTGATTCTTTATTATAATTGAAATTGACTCGTGTCAGCGCGCATCACGCAGAATCGCTCATGACCCGTCCAACTCGCCACTCGCCCTCTTACAAATTTGAAATTCTACGGTGCTTATATTTAATCTTAACCCTAGTACATTTAGCGTCGCTGGCTTACAATATTTCTTATGATTCTTAACATATTATTAGTAAAAGAAACTAGTCGGAAAAGGTCTTTGCGCGTCGAGAAGGCCCGCGGAAACCTGAGCGAAAACATGTGCGCGATCAGCGGCCATCGTCGGGTCGGGTTTTCTTGCAGGCACTGCTTTTAAGTGTGGCCGTAAATCATTCTTAGGCGCACTCTGCCTGTTTTTTAAAATGTTTCCCGCACGTTTGGATATCGGGTGGTTAGCGGTTCGAGATGCAGTTGCGCCTTGGTCTAAGAAAGAAATATATCGCGAACGGACATTCTGTAGCTAGCGCGTGATTTTGATTCTGACTATTTCCTCACTTAGCATACGAACGCGTAAATACTTAGTCATCCGAACGCGTAAATGCTTAGTCATCCGGAACAACAACGGTTAATAAGATTTAATGTGCAACCTCATATTACTATATATTAATCTAAAAAAAAATTCATGCAATGGTAGCATTTGTTGACATTTATACTATGAGCGTAGTTAAACAAGTAAAGGATTATGTATTGTCTGGTTGTAATTTCATTTTATTTTCTATTTATTTGTTACGTCTATATTTATTGAAAAATTAAAGAAATTATTTATCGATCTACTCAAAAATAAAATTGTTGAGTTAAACTTTAACAAAATATTAACAAATTGATATTGCAGGTTCCGCTATAAAACAGCGTAAAAGTAGAACTCGAAATCACTTTACGCGATGTATAGAGTATGTACCGATAAAATCAACATCAGCCTCTAAATCTCAATTCGCACGCCGTCTCACGAAAAAGGACGCGCGTACGCGCTTTCGCCTAATGAGCATGTGTAATCGTCGACGTCAGCGCGAGGGAGAGAAGAGAGAAAAGCCGTTTTATTTTTCCTTTCCATCCAAAAAAAAGTAGAGCAAAGCATTCATGCGGATAAAGCGCGTATTTATCCATTCAATTTCTAAGAAGCCGTGTCGAAAGCAATATACATATAACACATTCGCTTTCTCCTGTTTTCTCACGCGTGATTCGGCGCGATTCGCATATATGACCACACGACAAGGATGTTCCCGATTAACGGTGAAAAAACTTTTTTATTTATTTCAATACATACTGATAAGAGTAATGAGATTTTATTTGCGCATATTTATATATTTTTACTTTTAACAAGGTGAATCATTCAAATAGATTATAAAATTCTATATTGGATGGAAGTAATTAAGTTAACTAACAACATTAAGAGTAGGACGTTGGAAATATAACGACTAGCCTGTTTGTCTTTATTGATTCGTTACGTTGCAAGTGTACCTGACAGATTACATGCGTGTACATAAGCAAAAACTGGTGCACCTTAATGAAGAGAGAGAGAGGGAGAGAGAGAAATGTAAAAAAGAGCGTGGAAAAAAAAACAACTCGCTAACTTCATTTTCATAAAGAGAGAAAGAGAAAGACAGGTCAGTGGTTACCTATTATCCAAGATGTAAAGTGTTGATATTGTCATTAATTAAATACAAGTGTAGCGTTGATTATATATTCGCTAACGAGCCTAGTGCTTAAGTACAAACAAAACAAAACAACAAAATACTACTTAACTACAGTCATAAACATAAATCATGAAAATAAAATTATTGTAAATGATATAATACATAAATAAATATTTTTACAGGCTAACATCAATCAAGCTGCTATCAATCAGAATTTTGAACAGCAGTCTACTGGTATTAGGAACTACAATAAAATTTTACATCAATTAAACGATGATTTACATTAAATTAATTATTCAAATCTACCTCTGATTATCAAACATTTTTTTGTTCTAGTACAAATTCGTAAAAACTCATTAATTATATTGATCAACGATTATAAGAGGAATAAGCTTGAGTCTGTGCTGAATAAGCGCCATCTTCCCAGCCCGCACTAGCAGACCAACTATTAGTTGCTGGTACCGACCAACTTGACGATAAGGAGCTTCCATGATGATGATGATCATCGTGTTTTTTGTGATGTTCATGGTACTCATGATGCTCGTATTTTTCGGGCTTGTGATGATGATATGATTTCAATGCCAAAAAAATCGAGATGGCAATTGCAATTGCTGCTGCAAGCATTGCTTTTTTGGCTAATAAGGCAATAGCAAAGTACGACATTGTCATTAACAAACCAAATTTGGCTTTCGCGGCCATCAGAAATGGCATCATGTGTTTTATGTGTTTCTTCTTGCCCCGACCTGAAATTCAAATTTATATATGTATTGATTACTATTAATTTGAAATTTTGTGTAATAAAGATGGAATCTTATAGTTACTGTAAAAAAAATTATTGATACAATTGTTTATCTATGCAGCTTTATTAAATAAGTAATTAAAGCAGTATGCCATGTTTTATTATTTATTACGACAATTTATCTGATAATTATAAATTAAAAACCTACTTTTTATGCTAAGCTGTCTACTATTTATGTCGATTTTCCTTTTTAAACTTCCATGTAGAAATTATCTCAATTACTATAAATTTATATTACAGTCAAGTATATTCATTAGACGACCATTTTTGAAATAATTATCAACAGTTTATTTTATTACTTTAGTAATTAGTAATGTCACTCTATGATTTAGTTGAATAATTAAATTGAATAGTTTAAAATTTTTAATATGCTGCTTTAATATTAAAAGAAAATTGATTTACCTTCGACATCATCTGCAACTTGACGAATCTCTGCTGGAATCAACTTGGTTACAGCTCGCGCAGTTGCTCGTATTTTGTCAAGAAGTGGCGTAAAGCTTATCTGAAAATTGAAAAGTACAATCCAGATAGCAGTGTTTACAAATATTCCTTACTAACATAGTAGTTAGTTCTTCTCTATATTACTCATTATTTAATGCAATATTTTATAGATTTTACTTATTCCCAACAATTTTCTAAATTGTTTATTCGAGAAGAAATAAAATTATATATTGAAAAATTATTTGAAAGAGAAACTCACCTTCAAGCTACGCCCTTTAGAAATGTCGATGGCCACTTGCTCCATGAACTGCTTCAGAGTATCTTGCCTCGTGACCACATTGTCGGCTTTTTCGATTTGCTGTTCATAGATCAAGTCGTTTCTGCTCCTCGGTACTCGACTATTATGTTCTTTGACAAGACTTACTCCAGCGATAATTTCCAAACTATCCTTATTAAAGAATTCCTTAGCCTTTCTGAACAAAATCGTCTGTATGCAAGATATACTATCACTCGTGAGACACTCGTCGATAGTTTGCGCCCGAGTTAACGCGACAATTGCGGCTATTAACAATAGAGTTGAATTCATGACTATCTCTGTTACTAGAACCAAACGAAACTTTAGGAGTAAGATGTAGATTCTTAAGTATATATACAGCGGAGGGGTACTCGAGCGTGTCACGCCTTCTCTTTTTTCTACTTCTTCCTTTTTTCCAAAACCGATCTCCCAGGTGACATTTTCGTGTGGTCCAACGTGAATCCCTACCGCTCCTGTGCTCATGCCCCCCTTTTTTGATATTTTTCTTCCAAGCTTATTGCGCGCGCACGCACAACTCCAACGTGGAAGGGAGTTGCAAGCGGTATTGCTCTTTGAGAATGCAAAATACTTATTGGTTTATTTTGATGAGAAGAGGGGGAAAAAAAGAGTAAAACACTTGTAGGAGGATTAAAAATTTGTTGGTATTCTTTACGGTTCAATAAGCGCTGGATAATATATTTTTTTTTTAAGAATGTGTATTTTTGTTTACATTCGTTCAGAGGTACATATATCAATGCATTAACAATGATTGTGTGTTGAACATTATTAAAAAAATTAATAAAACAGGAAGGTAACGAACGACTAGCCACTCGGTTTTGATTGATTGATCCTCTGTAGAAGAAAAGTTAAAACATGCTAAAAGGGCGTTTTTTGTCCATAAGGATACAAATAATAATGTACAACATACGCAAATGTATGTCAGTAGCGTGTATATGTGATGTGTGCACGCGTCCGCGAGCGATCGTTTTTCAATAAATATGTACATGGACAATGGACGGGATATTTGAATCGCTCGGCAGACGTCCGCGATCGATCGATAAATAACAAATATAATAATATTAATTAAAAAAAAAGAAAAAAATTAATAATTAAGTGACAAATAAATATTTTGCGCGCATTCTCGCATTCAATCTCTCTCGCTTCTTATCATGTTTTGTTTTAAATATGGCTCATCTTGGGTACTCAGCTCGTATCAGTCACGTGATCGATATATAATGCCCAAAGTTCAATGCTCCGTTGCCTTTCGACGCGACTGATCGTCGATTTTCGAAGAAAAAAAATTCGTGCCAGCCTGTAACCTCATTTTGCCGTCCGCGGGCTTTCACTCGGAAGAAAAGGAAAACAAAGCTAAACATGGAAACAACAATCATCGCTCGAAAGGCGCAAAAGGAATATTGAATCTCAAGGTATATTTCGAGTGGAAGACTTAGCGACGATGATAGCCAGAGAATGCTTGGCTGTGTGCGTTGTACGATGAAGCGTCGTCCCAACCACCGGTGCTAGCGACCGAGGACCATCCACCAGACTGTACGGGTGCTGCCCAACCACCAGCGCTAGCGGTGTTCCAGCCTGATGAGTAGCCAGTCGTGTCATGGCCCGATTGCTTAGCCCAGAGTGATTTCAAACCAAGGAATGCGGAAATGGCGATGGATATGATGGAGGCGATGATTGCCTTCTTGGCGATCAATGCAATAGCGAAGTATCCAAGTACGGCGAGGGCACCAATTTTAACTTTGGCCAATAAAAGTAGGGGAAGGATCTTCTTCAGCATCTTCTTCTTGCCTCGGCCTGAAAGATTGAAATTTTGATTAGTCTACTTATGGATTACTAATTAGGAATATACAAGCGAAAGTAAAACTGACTAGCTGAATTTTCTAGATATATATTGTTAAAACGATTTACCTTCAACGACCTCGTTGGCAGCTTCTTTGATTTCGACGGGAATAGATTCGCTGAGAGCTCGAGCGGACTCACTAATTTTAGTGAAAACGGGAGAGAAGTTGATCTGCAAAAATAAATCGTTCGTTAGGCAAATTTACATGTAACGAATATTGCAATTAATGATTGGATATTGCACTGATTTCTTATGAAGCTACAGTATTTATGTTTCGTTATATGTACTAAAGTAAAAACTTTTAAGGTAGAAAAACTTTGTACGTAAAACACAAAACCAACGAAACAAGCAAAGAAAAGTTTCTTTCCAACACTTGACAATACAACGAAACACCACAGTTACGACGCGAAAGAAAATTAAAATAAATTTGCACAATTCACTGGTAACTGACCCTCAAGCTGCGTCCGCTGAAGAAGTCGCCAACCTCATCACCAACAAAGTTCTCAAGAGCGCTCTGCCTCTCAGCAACATCGTTAGCTTGATTAATTTCCTGCTCGTAGACGAGGTTCTTGCCGCTCCTTGAGTTCCTGTCAGCCGTTGACTTGACGAGGCTAACTCCGGTGGCGATTTCCAAATTTTCGCTGTCGAAGAATTCCTTAGCCTTTCTGAACAAACTCTTCTGCACACAAGAGATGCTATCCTGTTGTAGACACTCGTCGATGCTTTGCGCGTGAGCGCAAGCTAAGATCGCGACTGCGACAAATACGAATGCTTTCATGTCTGCGTGCGTGTGACTTGTTTTTTTTCGTTCTGTTCGAAATATATTTTGTGTTCTCGTGCGTGCGAGTGAGGAACGATTCAGTCACGCAGGTGTGAGGCCCTGACTATATATACAAGGTCCGCCCCGTCCCGATCGAGAGAGAGAGTAAGCGTGCGAGCGAGCGAGAGAGAAAAAATATTCCTGTACAGATTTTTCGAATGTGCTCTTTATCTTCGACGCGCTGCGCGTACGGCTCTCTCTCTCTCTCTCTCTCTCTCTCTCTCTCTCTCTCTCTTTCTTACTCGCACGCTGGTCCCCTCTCGTTCTTTCGTCGTCGTCACCGTCGTTTGTGTATGGCTGCTGCAACGGCAGCTTCTTCCCCACCTCGAGCACGTACGTACACGCGTGCTCGTACGTGGTCGGTCGGCGATCCCCTTCTTTTTCGGCACTTTTGTACGAAACGGCAAAAACTGGTTTCAGCCCGCGCTCCCGTCCCAATAATAAAATTATTATATTTTCTTTTCTTTCCGACAATTCCCTTCCTCCTTACTGAAAAGTTCTTGCCATGAAAAAATAGACAGATAGAATCCAACTGTTCAATTACGTGTAAAATGTTCGCAGATACTCGATGGCTTCTCACACGGTGTAATCAAAAGTAATCATAACTTGTTAAGACTTCCAGTTATATCCCGTGCGACCTGTATGAATCAACGAAATACCGCGTAATATCTTTTTTAATCGATTTTCAGAATCATACAATAGCTGATTTTCTCGATCGATTCATTTCGTTATCAACGTCAATTTTCCAGTACTTACTGTTAACTTTATTTCCGAATATGAAATAATCGTACATCATACTGCGGTAGAGATCCATTTATGTAAATGCTGCTTGTGCTTTACCATACAACGACAAATGACTAAGATTTTTGTCGTCTGATAATATATACTTTCGAAATATATCAAATCGAAATACCGAATGGTCCAAGTTGAGTTCGGTGCAGTGATCGATATCAAATTTCATAAAAGAACAAAAGATCGTAATCGTTGTAAGAGTTCGACGTTGAAAAGATAAATTTGAACAATGTCAGCTAGAGAAAATCGAAATGTGTGCAGACGAGGTCTGCTGGAAAAAGCATACATTTAGGCTGCAGCGTGTAGAACGCGACTATGTACTTAAAGCAAAGAAGCAGTGTACACTATTCTTCGCTAAGTGAGAGCTTACTGTACGACGCGCTGATAATATGTGTACACATCCGCGTGTAGGCAAGTGCCATAGAGAAAAGAATCTAAAAGCCAAGAAGCTTTTTCCAATGAGCATTTGGAATAAGTATACCGCATTAATAATGAAGGATTGAGTATGTATAAAACTGATCTCCCTGATGCGATACTGCTAATACATACGAGGGTATGTTAACAGTATCCCTGTTGCTTTGAACGCGAATCACTTTCTTCAATCACGTATAAGCAGCTGAATTCCACGTTTATTACTTATAAAGTATTTGTGTAAAATAATGTGTTGCTCATTCATTCAATCGAAGTAGTATAAAAAAAAATTTTTGGAGTTCTAATGTAAGAACGTGAAAGTGGCCACCAACGCCAATTTTACCTCATCACACTTGATACAATCATCATCGTAATAATCATAAAAAATTAACATGCTCAACTTGCGGAAGCAACATTAAGCGCGAAAGTTAGGCGTATACGGAAATGGCGACCTGTGACCCAAACGCGTCCACCTTCTCTCTTTCCTTTTTTTATTTCTCAATTTCACAAGAAGGCATACATATGCTTCGGGCTAATTTATCGCAGAGCTGACACGATTCGTGGCTGTCGCGGAACTCTCTTCAGGCTGCTGGCGTTTTAACGTGAATTCCAGAGTTTTTTCCGCGCGTAGCTTTTTTTTCCTTCAGTATACCTGCTTATGTGTTTGGCTTTGTCGCTTGACACGGTTAATATTCTTGAGTCGCATGTGCTGGAATTCATCTCTTCACCTGATAAATCTTTACTATACTACGTGAAAAATGGAAAGTTTTTTCTTTCCGAGTTGATTTTTAGGATATTGATAACAATCTTATTAAAACTTATCGATGAAATTTTACACGTGCGATCGCTGTAGTTAAAATTCTTTGCTCGCCTTCGCATTTTCTTCGTCATTTAAAATTAAAAAAATTCCAATGACATTTTATTGCGTATCATAACCAAATATGTCTTCATTTTTATATTTTATATGAAGTAAAGTAATAATTAAGCATAGGCTTTAACTGACATACAAGCTAAATAAGTATTTCAATATTTATCCCATAACTTACCGATACGTTTGAAAAAGTCTTTGAAAAAGTGCATTTTTGTATAATTGAATATTTTATCTAAGCTGGAAAACTATGTACATCTAATGTCTTTAGTGGGATAACACATTCTTTTGTTTAAAATCAAACCTCTTACAAAAGAATATGAAGGTCAGATCTTCCAAAAAGCCAAGTGAAATTAGCATGCCACGTCTAACCGGCAATATTGTTGAGGCGCTTATTAGTGAAAGTAAGAGGAGCTTTCGACGAAAGTTTCTGTGCTTTTTGAAAACTGGAGCGAACTGCAACGGGAACAACGTAAGGGAAAGCGTACATAAGTATACATATATAGAAAAATGTACGTGAGAATTCGCGCCCTGTAATTACATTTGACTCGCAGAACCGGTTTTTATACTTCTTATGCGATGGTAATGACGTGACAAGCTGCAGCTCCTTCTCCTAAATTATTTATTATGATGTGAAAAATTATTTGTTCATACATTTTTCAATATTTTGCGAATCACCTAATTTGAAGACGAACAACTTCTATTGTGTTCATAAAAAATCTCACATTTTTTTAGATAGAGTCGGTGCATCAATGGATTGGAATTGTCATCAAATATTACAATTAAATTGAAAATAATTGAATGTAACTGAATTATAAATACATTTTTTTACTTTATTATATACATAAAAAAATGTATCCGTAGATTACTAGAGTTATACTTTATTGAAGAACATATACTTAAAATACATTTTTGGCCAAATAAATTGGAAAGCATATAGTGATATTTGAAACTTAGTTTGCTTTAAAAACACAACAGTTTGTTCCCTTTACAAATCGCATAAGACCGTTTTCCCAAACAGACATGAGCTCAAAGGCTCTCAAGTGCCTTCCCTTGCCAGCGGCATTGTATCACTTTGAAAATAAAGAGCAAGTAGCGTGAGAGACGAAAAAAGAGGCAGTTTGTCGCTTACTGAGGAAGCGTTTGTATACTCTGATTCTTTTGACAAGCGTGCACTGTTAGCATATAGACACAATACCCACCCCACCATGTGTCACCTCTTTGGCCTCTCTCTCTCTCTCTCTCTCTCTCTCTCTCTCTCTCTCTCTCTCTCTCTCTCTCTCTCTCTTGTATCCTACTTTGCACGTGAGCTTTTGAACGATTAATCTACTACACATAATTTGACTTATGTTCATTAAATCTTCATTTTTATTTCTGGAAGTTTTATGGGTCTATTAATTAGTGGGTTGTAATCAAATTAAAGAAATTACAGTAATTTCAGTAAAGACAGAGCAAAAGAATATATCATGTATACATAAATATATATGAATCATTTATTATGAAAAAGCTACAGCAATTTTCTCGCCATGATTGATTAAACAACTTTCTTGAAATAAAAGACTTCTTTACATGAGAATACAAACTAAATTAATTATGAAATAAACTTCAGCATTATTAGATTAAATGAGAGCTAAATTTTGAATTTCTAAAACTCCGATAGAGATAAGTGACACTATAAAGATTAATTAACGTTTGAAGAAATGATAAGTGATAAGAACAATGTTTGGTCAGCCTTAGACGATATGCGCTAAAACAAAAATTTACCGTTGAAAAGTTCACTTGCGGAAATTTATAAAATATATTTTCGTAAAAAACCAATCGCATAACCGTCTAAAAATTTGAAACGTATAATGGAAGTTCATTGATTTTTTCTTCCCAATTTCCATATCGTTTAAGCGCACAAAATGATGCAACGCGTATAGGCTATTTCACTCTCCTGCAGGGCGATACTTGTACATTCATTAAGTGAAGACAGAAAAAAAAATATTTCCCGAATCCAAAATTCGATGAGAATTTCACTAAATTAAATTAATAGAATTAAATTGTCATGCGTATGTGAGCGCATCAATGAAAGAGAAAGTATTTTTATTTGACTTCCAACTTAGCGTGATATTTCATTTATTCATTCAAAGACTTTTCCTTTAGAGATTTATGCATCTTGCACAGGGTCGTTATATTAATCTCAAATTTTTTATTGTAAATGCTCGTTTGAAACGTTAGTCTCGATATTAATTATTTATCAATTAAATTAACAAGACTTCGACCATCAAGATTAATTAATATAGATATGCAAATGTCGTTCTCCAATTGGAAGCTTTCGACTATCCCGTTTGATTCATTTAATAAGTCAGCGATATGTTCGACTATCTTTTTGTATAATTTCTGCTACACGATTAATACTAAATTTTATTTTCCCTTATTTAGTAGTACCTTTATATATATCAATTATTATTCGTAGAACACACATACATTTTTAAATTTACAACGAAACCAAGTGTGTAGTTATGGAATACTTCGAGTGTAAAATTTGTATGTCCTAAATTTTTAAATGATACGTGGTATTAAACATTTTACATTAGTATGCAATTGTAGACGTATTATACATTTTTAAATAAACAATTGGAGTTGATGATATTTCGCATTGAATTGGACATTTTTTAAAACGTTTTGTCAAAAACATGGCAGTTAAAACAACTAAATTCTAATACTATCGCTCAAATCTAATTCAAGACTCGTACGGGTATAAACACGCGAATCGATACGCACCCAAATGAAAGTACAATTATCAGCTTCATCGTCACGTGGTAAAGAGAAACTTCCCCGACGAAAAGTGAAACTCCCTCCCAATAAAACAGCTATTACGCAGTAGAAGCGGTAGAACGGCACAATGAAGAGAAGAGAAAAAAAGGACAGAAGAA